AGAACAGGTCAGTAAGTGGGTAGCTCTGCTACTGAAAAACCAACTCAAACACTCAAGTCAGTAATATAGTTTTTGTTTGTATAGGAAACATTGAAAAGTTTTTAAAAATAATTTTTTATATAAATTTGAAAAACTTACTTGTAAGTACTCATCATACATTAAGCATGTGTTGTTTCTTCTGCTGGACAAATGTGGGAAACCTGGATGTTTTGAGGATAGCTAGACCCAACTTATCAGGAATAAAGTTTTTCTTTGTCTTGACTTATTTTGCATCTCAAGAAGGTACTTTACTCTTGTGCAAGTTGGATCACAGGACTCACCCCATGAGTAATGCATTCTCTGAACACCTAAGGATGAGTATTGAGCTTTACGTAAGCTTTCAGCGAGCTCTTTCTAGGAGATAGGTCCTCTCTGAACACGTAAGGCTGAGTATTGAGTTTACATCAGCTTTTCATGAGCTATTGCTAGGTAGTTTTCACCTAATCGGTGGGAAGGCTGCTTTGCAGGTACCTAATCTCTTGCCAACTTATTCACCACACAGCAGAATCATAATTGTGTTTAGTGGAATTAGGTTGCAAGGTTTTTAAACCTCTTGCTTCTCCCTTCCCCTGTCCCTAGGATATAGTGCTTCTTGATACATTTGGAAGTATGTGAGACTATAGCAATAGCTTACCCAACTTTTGCCCTGAAAATATCCTTAGGTTTTTATCATTTTTCTGTCAGTCCTATGATGAAAGATCAACAGGCCCAACTAACTTTATTTATTTATTTATTTTAAATTAAATTTTTATTGTTGAAAGTATTATGTAGGAAGGGGGGCTTCTGGGGCCAGGGAAAAACAGAGGGAAGACTGGAGAGTCTGAGAGATGTGGAATGAGCACCAGACTGTTTGGAAACCTGAGCCTCATTGTCTGGGTTCATGGATTAGGCATATGTGCATACCAGTTCTTTGGTTGATCTCTTCCCATCCAGCCACCCTCCCCTGCCTTCACTCTGAGATTCCCCAGTCTGTTCTATGCTTCTTTTTTTGTTTTTGTTTTTCTATGCTTCTGTCTCTGGATCTCTTTTGTTCATCAGTTTATTTTGTTCATTAGATTCCACATATGAGTGAGATCATGTGATACTTGTCTTTCTCTGACTGGCTTATTTTGCTTAGCATAACACTCTCCAGGTCCCTCCATGCTGTCTCAAAGGGAAAGAGATCCTTCTTTTTTATTGCTGCACAGTATTCCCTGGTGTAAATGTACCACAGCTGTTTTACCCACTCATCTACTGATGGGCACTTGAGGCCCAAATAACTTTAGTGTCTGTATTAGAAGAAATAGTTTTGGCTATAATTTCTGAGAGAGGTTGAAATATGCCTAAAGCTATATAGGTT